ACCAGCCCAGCTGAAACACAGGAAGGGAGCAGCTCCCCGACCTCAACAGCAGCCCGCAGCAATGTACTGTCAGAGCAGAGCGACAGCGCAGCCCGCCCCAGCGCCCCCCGGCCACGGCCATGCACCCTCCGCTCCGCGCCCAGGGCGAGACTCTCCCTGCCGTGCGTGCGACACGCTGACCCCGCGCAGCTACAGCTCGGCTGCCAGGAACCGGTCACGATGGGAGCCACCGACCAGTGCATCGACGGCTGCTCAAGACCCGGGTCCTAGTCGCGCTGGTTACCAACGCACGTGGACACGGTCCAGGAACCTCTCAGTCCCCGCTCCTGCACAGCCCTGCACCGAGGGGTCTCGGCCAGCCCCGCACAGCCCAGGGGTAGGCTCAGTGCACGCAGAGGGAGCACTGACGGAGATGGAGGCCAGCTGCAGCCCCAAGCCTGCGCCTTCCCTCACTCGTCTGCTGGGAAGGGACAGTGAGAGGAGGCAGCTGCCCAAGGGGGCCCAGGCCACAAAGCCTGATGCAGGGGCGGGGAAGAGCTCTCCAGCTCCCCCGGTTGCTGGCCATGCAGACAACACAGCTTTCCCCCCTGCTTGTCAGACAGAAGTGACCCTGACCCCTCCCCACACAGCTCCACATGCCAAGGGCTGCCCGTGGCTGTGCCACGCTCTCCCGGCATCCCCCTCTCCAACTCCGCTCCACCCATGGGCAGAGGGCACTGAGGGGGCCCAAAGTGACTGCAGGCATCAGGTCTGCAAAGAGCTCTTGCTCATGAGCAATGAGTGATGCACGCGAACAGGCCATCGGCTGCGGCAGGGCCTCTGGGATGTGGGCAAGGCCTGGCCGGGGGCAGGGTTCCCCAGGAGACGATGGAGGGCAGGTGCTGGGAAGCCTCCTTTCCCTCCATGCATGCACTCGGCTCCTGTACGGCAGCAGGGATGAGCCCGGAGGAGCAGAGCTCCTGCAACCGCAGGAGAGACGGTCCCAGGACAGCTCACGCCGCCACACCACCTACGCCAGCGGGAGCTGCTGCCTCCCGATGCCCTCAGCCCACCCCACCCCGACGCAGCCGCGTGCTCCCGGGCCCCGGCACGCAAGGGACAGTCCTCTTCCCTCGACTGCCTGCCTCCAGTGAGAAGAGACAGGGACAGAGAGGACAGGGAGCCAAAGCCACTGGGCTGAGGGCAAGGCGGGCGGCCGGCACGGGTACAGAGGTGGCCCTCGGCTCCTCCCAGAACCAGCATGCCAAAGCCCCATTCTCCAAATAACTCGCCCCGTGCAGGAGTAGAGGACGTAGGAGCCCTGCATCTGTGCCAGAGCCCCTGCAAGTGCTACAACCCCGGGTGCCAACGACAGCGGCTCTCAGCAGGCTGCTCCTTGGGCACGCCAAATCCCCCACAGGCTCATCCCGATGTGGTGAACGCTCCCAGGGGACCTCTCCCGCTGCTGGGATGTGAGCAGGGCTCAGGGAGGAGGGTCGTGGCCGGGGAGCCGGGCCAGAGGATGCAGCAGGACCCCTGGCACACACCCGCCGTGGCTGCAGAGGAGCTGGCTGCGCCCCCAGCCATCAGGCACAAGGTGGAAAAGCCGGCAGTCTGGCAGGGCTGAGCAGAGGCAGGGCCCCGGGACACGGGCACAGCAGGAGGGGGAGGTGGTGCAAAGCGCCAGACTGAGCGGGAAGGGGTGAAGCTGTGGAGTGAGAGGAGGCGAGGGAGCGTGGGCCTCCGTGTGCTCACGTTTGCGCGCCCGCGTCCTGCCCACAAAACAGAAGGGCCAACATGGCAGAAGCCGGGCTGCCCCGTGGCACCCAGGTGGGCTGCACAGACACGGAGTCCCACCCCGGCAGCACGGAGGCAGGATCCACGTCCAGCCCCAGAGGGGGATCGCGGGCCTGGGCTGCAAGGCTGCCCTGAGGCTGGGGTCCAGTTCCCAGTCTCCACGAGCAACACAGCCCTGCACGGTGGTTCGGGGCTGGCCAGCAATGGGCGCAGCAGGTAAATGCTCACGGGACCCCATCCCGCCCTGCAGCCCGGCGCGCGGGGCAGACGCAGGATGCCTGCCCCGCAGAAATGCCACGGACGGGCGCTGCCGCACGGAGCCACCGGTACGGCTCTGCAGAGAGGTTCGCTGCGCGGACGCTCCCTCTGCTGGTGCCAGCTCAGGGCACCGAGTTGGCTCTGGCTGCCAGAGAGCCCTGCGCTCAGGCAGGGACTGCCCGGCCCCTGCCCCGTGCTGCACGCGTATATGCAGCCAGGCTTGCCAGGTGGTCCGCAGGGGCCCCCCACAAACCGTGCGAGTGCTTGCAACACACCCGCATGCTGGGACCAAAGGTCTGGGGCTGCAGCATCAGGCCTCGAGGCCACGGCCTGGGCAGCCAAGGTGAGGTCTCACAAAGGCAGTAAGTGCCTCCAACTCCCGCCCTGCTCCAGGAAGGAAGAAGGTCAAGGCCATGGAGGGTGCCCAGCACCATGCAGGATCAGGCTTTTCCCACGGCCTGCCTTGCCCCTTACCTTGCCCTGGGGCCCCGTGCCACCTGTGTCTGCTCCGAGGGGGCAGGAAGCCCAGCGCCTTGGCTCCGCGACAAGGATGGTGTCGTAGAGGCACGGAGATGCTGGCTGGCAGGGACCTGCGGAAGTCGCATCTAGTCCAGCCCCTGCTCGAGGCAGAATCAGCCCTGCCCAAACTGTGCTGTGCAATCCGGCATGTCAGCTTCGTAAAACAATCGTCAACCCTGAGACAACACCAGACGTCGCGCCAGGGAAAGCAGGGAGACCGTGGCTGCCAACGTCCTACTGCTGCAAAGGGTGTTAATATACACTCAAGAGACCCCAGGCAGAGGCCGTGGCCCTGCTGCAGAGAAAGGCAAAACCCCACTCGTCCGTACTTATCTGACCGGGGGGAAATTCCTTCCTGACCCCAAATCTGGCATCAGTCTGAGCCTGAGCAGGGGGGCAAGACCCTCTAGCCAGGAACCTCTGGGTTTAAGTCCCAGCAGGAGCACTGGCACAGCCCAACCCCAACCCCATCCCTAGCCTGGGCTGCAGCCAGCACCCAGCATCTCTGGGGGAGGCTTAAACCCCCCCCATGACGCGTGTCGCACAAAGGAGAGTGGGAGGGGGCAACTGTGTGTGCCGTCCGACTGGGCAGACACTGCATACAGGGCACCACCCGCTCCGGCCGGTCTGGGATCTGTCGCACGCGCCAGCCCACGCAGCACAGTCCCCGAGTGAGCACCGTGCAGCACGTGTCCTAGGCCCTGCCCTTGGGCTGGTCTGCCACATGCCGTGCCCCATAAGGGTCTGCCCAGACCTGGGACAGTACTGAGGACCAGCTGGCAGGGCTCCACGGGCTGGATCCGGTCCACGGCCACGTTTAACACCGCTGCTATGGAGGAAAACAAGCCAACGGAAACCATGCAAGGAAGGAACAGTCCACCCACTGCAACCGGAGCGACGCAGAGCAGGGCCGCAGAGAGAGGCAGCACGGCACACACGGGCCTGCAACGCGCCTCCCGCCCGCACGAAGGACCCCACGGGCTCCCCACGCCCCTTCCCCCGTGCGGGGCTGGCCCGGGGCTCTGACAGCTAACGCGGTTTGTATTGTTCAGCCCAGTGCCTAAACAGAGCCCGCACGGGCGATGGTGACAGCACTTGGACACGAGTGCGAATGCACGACTCCGGCGCATCTCCTGCCCCGGTGCATGCGAGGGCCCTGGCAGGGCACGGACCACGCGCACTGCTCCCCCACCCTGCCCTGCTGCAGGCAACCACTCAGCCCAGCCCCACTGTCCACGGGGCAGGAGGCTCGTGCACAGGGGCCTCTGCTCTCCAAGATAAACACTGGCCAGGCATTGTTTCAACATGAGTCAAGCGAATGGGAACGCCGCAGTGCCATCCTGTTTTGCTGTGCCGAGGTTTTTCCCCTCCCGCTGCAGGATGTGAGAGCAGGCTCGGGGGTGCTTCCGCTCTGCTCCACTCTCGCTATCCCGCTTCCCGTCAGCATCTGCACCCGGGCAGCCCGGCCCGGCCCAGCGTGCCCGCCCCGACGCCTGCCTCCTGGCTGGACATGGTCGGAGAGCTGCAGCTTCACAAACAAAGAGCAGAGCTGCAGCAGCAGGAGGGAGCAAGCGGGGCCTGGTGAGGCAGGGAGGCTTCATTAACAAAAGGCCAAACGCACACCTGCTCTGCCTGGCCCCAGGGGATGAGGAGAGGAGGCCTGAGCACGGGTGCTGGCAGAGGCAGCTGGACACCAAAGGGCAGAGGAGGGTGAGGCTCAAGGGCAGCAGCACGTGGGGGCTCGGGGCTGTCTGCGCCTCCCCAAGATCATCCGCACCCAGGGGTCCTGTGTGGCAGGGGCCGCGGGCTGGATGCAGGCTGCAGGCTCCTGCAACGCCAGGTCCCACCTGGGGCACCATAAGGACGGCAACAATGGGTCCTGGGGGAGGAGTGCAGGGGCAGTCACAGCAAGACAGGCTCGCTGTCAATGGCTGTGGCCAGCGGGGCCAAAGGGTCCCAAATTCTGCAGCAGACCATGCCCCCGACTCCCAGAGGCCTGGCAAGCTCCTGGTTGTGCGAGAGCGGGCGTGTGCCGACACCCCCGTGGCGCAGGTTCATCCTGAGGACATCCCAGCCCCGTTCACCCTCATGCTCAAACAGCAGCAGGACACTGCCAGCCTGTGCCACAGCCCACGGCCCGGGGACAGCTGACTCCTGGGAGAGACCGCATGTCAAATGCATCAGTGCTGCACCATTTCTATCTCCCTCTAAAGCCGTTGAAACGGTCCCGGGCTCCTTGAGCGCCGCAAGAGCAACGCGTCGGAGAACAAGACACGGCACAGCTCCACTCACGCTGACACGAGGATCTGAGCAGACAAGAGGCCGAGCTGCCGTCAGGAGACCAGCTATCCCCACCCTGTTACAAAGCGTCAGTCCCCCCGTGGGCAGCAAGCAGGAGCC